GGGCTAGTAGCGCCTGTGCTGATTGGTTTCATGCATGTCCGCCTCAACCCCAGAAATAACTCCCCAAGTCGCGCATCGTGAGCGCTGCTTTGACTGAAGCGTTGCGCCTGTGCTGTTGGTGAGGGCTTCCGAGGTTTAGCCAACGTCGCAGTATGTAGAGCGCGAGCACATCGACTGTACCAAGCCTCGAATTGCGCGGCACCATGGACACGATAGCAGTTGCCCCAAAGGCGTCGGCGCTGGCGTCGCCCAAGATCGTCAAGAATGCAAAGGGCAACATTGTGCCGAGCAGCCAGATGGCACATATCGCATATGGATGCGGTGAGCATTTGGCCACACGAACTCTCAGATACGAGGTTGCTGATTCCACGCAGAACACATGGGCGAAATGTTGGAGAAGGCGCGCAAGCAGACACTCCAGCACTACCGGGCCATCCTCCAGAATATCCACGAGAAGCCGAGCATAATAGCGCAGACGTACAATGCGCCGGCGGAGGCGCGCAACGTCGTGTCGCTGAGGCCGCTCTTTCTGTGTCTGCAGTGCCCGAGCATCATGACCGAGGCGGATCGGGATCTGCACTTTGAGACCAAGTCACACTGTTTCTGTGGGTTCAGTAGGACGCCGTGTGGATGCAAAGGCTAATGGGAAGCAGCTGTAGAATCACGAGATGGCAACATCTACTGCGGGAACTGCCAGGACTTCATCTACGACGAGACTCTGGATGTCCTTAGGGTGCAGAAGGGTACGCATATGGCTTTGTTCTATCCCAGGGGCCAGCGCTGGCTGACCGCATGCAGGCAAGAAGCGAAAGTACGAAGACACTACCACGACCGAAGACCACAAGCTCGTCATAAGCAACTCGACCTTCCTCCCCTGCCGAGCGATAGGCCTGCGAGGGCTCTACAACATGGGCCAGACGTGCTTCATGAGCGTCATCCTACAAACCCTCGTCCATAACCCCTTCATTCGAAACTTCTACCTCTCCGAAGGACACAAGCAGACAGAATGCGACAAGGAATCATGCGTCAGCTGTGCGCTGGACGAAATGTTTGTCGAGTTCCACTCAGCTGAGAAGACGGAGGGATTCGGGGCCGTGGGCATGCTCATGGGCAGCTGGCTAGCTGGAGAAGCCCTCGCAGGTTACCAACAGCAAGACGCGCACGAGTACATGCAGTTTATACTCAACACGCTGCATCTGGCAAACGGCGGGTCGGCAGACGACTCGGAAGATTGCAAATGCGTGGTACACCAGACGTTTTGTGGGAAGCTGTCAAGTACCGTGACATGCGACAACTGCCGGAATGTTACCACGGCTCAAGATCCATACATGGACCTTAGTTTGGATGTCCGGATACAGGGCAAGAAGCGCAAGATGAATGTAGACAAGGGTGAAGAGACCCCACTAGATCTGAGAGACTGTCTCGAACGCTTCACAGTCAAGGAGAAGCTGGGCTCAGCCGACTACACATGTCGGAATTGCGACAGCCCGCAAAATGCGACCAAGCAGCTGAGCATCAAGAGATTACCCCCCGTGCTCTCCATTCACCTCAAGGTACGCCACGAGTGTTTTTCTCCACATCTCCATACTAACGTCCACGCAGCGTTTCGAGCATACCAAATCCACGTCCTCCAAGATCGAAACTCCCGTTCGCTTTCCCGTCAAACTAGACATATACCCCTACACAACCGCCCACAAAGCCGCCATGCGCGCCGCGAAGACGTCCGGTGCACCACCTTCGAATCACAACGTCAACAGCCCAACAAACGCCCTCGTCTACGAGCTGAGCAGTGTGATTGTACACAAGGGCAAGATTGACTCTGGACATTACGTCAGTTACAGCAGAGAGGGCAACGACTGGTTCATGTTCGATGATAGCAAGGTAGTGCTTGTCAGCGAGGCAGAAGTACTTGCCGCTGAGGCTTATTTGCTTTTCTACATGGTCGGTGGACTAGAGGTATAGGATTCGACCTGAGTGGAGTTTCAGGCGGTTTGGTATTCATTATCTGCTCGGGCAGTCTTGCACCTACCAGCTGCATACCTGGCGTTCAAAGAGGTTTCATGGCGTTTTCGAGAGAAGATGAAGATTTCTCTCCACTCGAGGATACTTTAGCATATGTTGGTTCTCATGTTGCCAATCCATTGATATATTCACACTCCGACCCATGTCGATCTTCTTCAAGGTCTGGTTTCATGAAGCTCCTGCTAACCTCATTCAATGACTCTAACTTATCCTGAATGCATTGCTATGTGTAGTTCCCTTCTCCATCCGTCGCCTCAGGTCGCCTCTCTGAATCATGCTGTCATGAATCCTCCATCCGGGCAAGTTTGCCGTGTCGATTGCCGATGCGGATATACCCTTCCGCAAACTCGTCGTTTCAACGAATCGTCGTAGGGCAAGAAGCGGTCTGAGCGACACTTGTTTTCACGCAAATGTGGTTATCCGGTGGCTTTACAGTGCCCATCGTAATCTTTTCAGCTCCTGAATCCCTCCTTAAACAGTGGCTTGTGGAACATGGCACCCCACTCAGGCAATATATCTTCATCGTTCCATGATTCAGTTATTCGTGGGCTACGTATATTAGAGTGTATCGCTTTTTTATTCTTGCAAGATACTACAACTTCTCTATCAATTAAATGGCGATTTCGCCTTCGTCGAACCTGCAGAGACATTGCTCCTCGAACTTGAGTCTTCAAACATCGTTTCGATCTGCGTGTTCACCGTTATTCCTTTACCGCCCACGAACTGTTCCACGCCGTTTATCTGATCTGACGGTGGATCCGTAAACAACGAATCCTCTGACCCATTCGCTCGATTCCGAGTGTCGTGCGTCGAATGTAAACCACCAGTTATCTGACTGGACGGATTGAGGCGGTTACCGCTGGCTCTTCGTCGCGCAGACGAGAGCTCGTAGTGGCGACCGTAGCTGTTGGACGCGTCCTTGGAGGTATTGTTTGTACCGAGAATCATGGAGCGCAGGGCGGGAAGGCAAGTAGCAATTATGGCAATCGCCGTCTCGATCATAGAGACGGTGCACGTCAGCATTGTCTCGTTCTTCTTGGAGTAATAGGCTCGAACGACTGGTATGAGGTTAGCCGAGTTCCCGATTCATCCTCAAATCTAGTGGGTACATACTGCTAGCGATGACGACGAAGAAACCCAAGGCGAAGATTGCGGCCACACCAATCTTCTGCTTGAGTTTCATTTGCAGTCGAGAAACCATGGTTATAGGCAGGCAAATAATGATCACATCTGTAATGATGTTGAAGAAGATGGTGATCCAGTAGTTGATCTCGGCGGCTTTGGGACTGCATTGATCTGCGCATGGTCAGAATCCACCGTATGCATGTACGACAGGGTTTGCTCACATTTAGGATCAGTGGACCATCGCTTGTTGTGTGGAAAACACTGGAACATGATATCGAAAAAGATAACAAGGTAGGTAACAACCAATCCAGCCAGCGCCAGGTTATACACAAGGACCAATCGTGAGCCTGGCGCGGCGAGATTCTTATAGAATAAAACCAGGGCGAATTTGATGGCCCACAGCGACGAGACATAGAGCGTTGAGCCGGGAATAATCATCTGCATTATTCCTTTGAAGTTCTCTGGTGTTACTGTCGACATGTCGCCTAGTCCTAAATTCCACATGTGCTGTTGGATGATGAGATCTCCAATCAGACATGTTAATGAGAGGAGGATGAGAAAATCATCTATTCCCAGATTGCCCAGCCTCTTCCATCGTGCATACATGCGCAGCGCAACGAAAGGGACCGCGGCGATCGTGCAAATGTACCATGAGATCTGCCAGCTACATCAGCGCCGCACGTAGCGAAGGAAGGAAGGGGGGGAGCAAAGTAACCTACCACCTGCCCGAGCCCATTGTCGCCCATGCTGCTTTGCTTGTCCGGCCGTTACCGAGATAGAGCCGTAAGGAGTTCGAGCCTGCTCGCTCCACCTTGGTAAGAGTTCCAAGAGCAGAGTCTGTGGAGAGCTGCGAGGATTTGCAAAAGGATTGACAGCGGGTGTATCTTTATTTCTTCTCCACAGGCAAACCACCCCTAAAGTAACTTTACAGGATTGTTGCGGGTTATGGTACTAGTATGCCGTCCCGTAGCGCTGTGGCATGATTGCATCAGGGGACTCCCCAAAGGCCCAACCGTGACTGGCAAGTCTAATTCAAAAGCTCCTCGGCCGCTAGAGTCGGCACCCAGTTCTGAGTTGCGAAACCCTTGGACGGCCACTACAATGTGGCGGCGTTTTCATGCGTTAGAGCAAGTTTAGCTAAGTTTTGGAAGAATTTGACTCGAGACGCGAGCACTACATGTATAGCATCGTGTCCGCCGACCGCGGCACTGGGAACCCGAACGCCTTCGCTCACATGTCAAAGGGACCGGCGAGTAATGGGATGGCAAACCAATTCTCGCAAGCCTCGGGGCCATGGGTGCGATGGCAGAATACGATAGGTCTCAGATCTTAATCGGGCGTGCACAACAAGTTCCATGGTTCGGTCCGAAAGAGCAAGCATGCTTCCTGGCTCGCATGGCGATGAACGACAGGGAACAGTGGTCTGGAAGGCGACAGGTAGACACATGGCGAACAATGCCGAAGGTTCTACCTTGGAACCGGTGGCATTCTAGCGCTCTAGGTGTATCAACCGGCTTCTAGTATGGACGACTTGTGAAGATCGCGATTGGTACGACTCGCTTAGCTTGCCAAATTTGCGGTCCCTGATTATCGACGGACCTCGGGAACGCCTGAGACCTGCAGCGACGGAGATGAAAATACCCTTACAGATCCATCAGGCTCCACGCCGGACAATCCTCGGCAGTTGATGGCAACATGGTGTTACCGCGCAGTTGGCGGCCAGAATGGTTCCCATGAAATGGTAAGCACGCCGAAATGGTGCCCTATATAGCCATGTGTAAGCCCAAACACGATCTGCAGCCTCCCGCCAAACTCTATCTCTTACCCACCATCGTGTCTCGCTGACTTGCGTCATGAAGGTTCCGACAACTCTTATTGGCTTACAGAGCCTCTCACTAGGCCTCTTCCTCGGTCAGGTGGCTAGCACTCCGCTGCCTCCGAAACCTTCAAGAGCAGCCGTAACGGATGGCACCGCGACACTCGATCAAGGAACCGTAAAGGGTTTCACAGACGACTATGGAAACTCTGTTTTTCTAGGCATTCCGTTCGCGCAGACAACGGGTGGGGAAAACCGGTATGTGACAGTGGCGACCAAACGTCATCCCCATTGTTGACCACTTATATAGATGGAAAGCCCCTAAGGACGTCAGCAAGCTCAAGAAGGGCGAGGTGCTTGATGCGACAAAGTATGGCGCCACCTGTCCACAAGCCATCACCGGCACAACATACTCCCAACAGGATGAAGATTGCTTGAACCTCAACATCTGGGTGCCCTCTTCAAATAGTAAGTCGCCACGGGCGCCGACGTTCCCTCAAAAGCCAAGTGGACCTCATCCTCATCATCCATCAGGCCCTCCCTCAGGCCCTGCAGGCGGTCCCCCAGGTCCCCCGGGTCCACCAGCTTCTCCATCAGGCTTGGATACATCGGGTCTTCCGGTTTTTGTGTATATGTACGGTGGGGCTATGGTCACTGGATCAAGTAGCAATCCTCAACTGGTTGGTGAGAACTTTGCTCGCAAAGGCGTCATCTTTGTTAGCTTCAACACTCGTGAGAGTCTTTGGGCCTACCCGAACTCCGCCGAGCTTGCAAACGGCGAAGAGTCGCAGAACTTTGGCATTCTCGATGTCGACAAGGCTTTGCAGTGGGTGCACGACAACATTGCTCAGTTCGGCGGCAACCCTGAGCACATCGTCTTTGGAGGGCACTCTTCCGGATCGGTTCAAGTAGATCATTATCTCTGGAATCACCCCGACACATTCCTCAAGGGTGCCGTTCAGATGGCCGCGAACGCAAAATCTGGTCCGGCCGTAGGTCCCACCAATCAGGCGCTTGATCTTGTTGCTAAGGAGGTTGGCTGCCAGACTGGTGAAGGCCAGCTCGAGTGCCTGCGTAAAGTCGACATGTACGCTTTCCAAACTGAGGCCTTCAATGCCACTCTGAACACGTACTTCACACCTGTCGTGGACGAGAAGACGCGCTATCAAAACTACGCCTCACGTTTCGCTGCTGGCAACTATGCCTCGCACGTTCCCCTGCTCACGGGTAACTCTGACAAAGAAGGCGCTCTGTTTGGTCTAGTATATTCTGGCGAGAACACCGTCTTCTCGGATTGGCTCAACACTTTTGATGCTGATGTAGCGGAAATTCCAAAGGACCTTATCGAGGCCGCGTACGACATTGCTGATTACTCCACTGTCTCCGAAATGAGCGGTGCGCAGTATGGTGACGCACGCTTCTTCTGCCCGGTCGACCACTTCATCGATGTGCGCAGTGAGGCTCAGGACACTTGGTCATACCGCTTCTTCGGCAACTACTCCAACCTTCTGCCCTTGCCTGTGGCTTACCCAACGCACGGCGCTGAGATCCCGTTCTTCTTTGGAGGTAATGGTGCTTTTGCTGGTATGGAGGGCGTGACTGCTGAACAGCAGGCACTTGCCGATTTCCAGAACGATTGGTTCGTCGAATTCATCAAGAACCCCGCCGCGGGTCCTGGCTGGGACAAGGCCACCCCTCGCAGCGGACCGATTGCGAAGCTCGGTGTGCCTGGCAACGAGCTTGCTGTAGAGATTGGTAACACGGCGGATTTCAACGCCAAGTGCCAAAGTGTTTACAACCCATTCCTTCCAAAGTATCCAGTCATCCAAAGCGTACTTTCCGGCGTAATGGACATGGTAGAGGGTGTCATCGGAAACTAGGAACAATGACCCAAAAGAATGTCAATCGAACGGCTATCATGATATCCCACTAGCTTCGATAGTTAATCATAATCTAATGCGACGATCAGTCCCCCCTTTCCTCCGGGATGTCTTTTCAACCATGAAAATCAACCAATCACATCTCTTCTCCAAAAAGGAAACACGTGATCTGGATGGAAAACTTGGCTCCCTGTGTTACAGATCCTTTTGGTCGATGAAACTCGCAGTGTTGCTGAGGCGCGGAGTATTTGGCTCAGCGTTGACAGGCATGACTTGAAGCAAGCTTTGGACACTCCATACTGATGGGTTTGTTGGAACCGCATCAGCATATGGCGAGACAATAAAAAGTCCTGAGTAGAGTATGCGAATCGTCTCCACCCACATTACGTTGCTTGAGCTTGGTCGGCGATGTGGCCTTGACGATATTGGGTCCTAGTGATTGCGCAGCATGCGCTCTTGTACACCGCATCACTGTAAGGGATCCTCTCGAATTATAGTCGCATAACGAAGTTTGAGACATCGAGCTTATGGGCTTACAATAACAAGGCTGTAAAGGTGGGTTTCCCTTTTTCGGGAAGTGACCGTCTTGGCGATGGAAGAAAAGACGGAATAATTGCAGGCGAGACCCGTATTGTGGGTTCTACATCCCAAAAGGCATAAGTACAGTCGCATCTGCACAGCCGCCCAGCCCAACCAAAAGCAATCGGCCAGCTCTTATTTGTGAAGTACGCTTCCGCAACGGTCGGTCGTATGGTCGAGGTATCGTCGCGTCGCAGGTACAACGACAAGCGTAGGCAGTCGCCGCGCGGAATTAGTTACTAACAACGTCTCTTCCCCACGAAGGACCCTGAACGCATTTGTGTCCCACCCACATTTCTCGCCGTCTGACCCGTCTGCCATGCTTAGGCCTCCAAATACTAACGGACCCGAGTGGCAGGCCTGTTTCGTAATTAGCCAGCCTTGAACGATTGGACCAATAGTCGCGATCCCTTGTTCGCATCCCGGCTTGGCCACATACGGGGATAATTCATAACACCCCTTTCACAGGGCTCAACGTGATGTGCCTAAAGGGTCCGAGAACATTTGGAAATCAAGAGTAGGAACGCGTAAAACATGGATATCTAGCAGCGGTAGCTACATCTCCAAAGTCGCTGCTTGCTTGTCACTAGGACCTTACTGTGGAGGTAACAGGTCGATCGATATTAGACACTCTCTTGGCATACGGAGGCCTAACGCTGTTATGCACCGGTTGGAGGAGGGTTGTATGCCATGTGGTGCGTGTGACAGGTGTACAGTACCGAGTACAGACTGCGCCTCTCCATCCTACGATCGTGAAAGGGCCACCCCTCGGCTAGACGCACTCTGAGACTTATGCATCCACAGATTGCCTACCTTCTGTGGCTGATTTGCAGGCTTTCCTACCGTATTAGTCTCAACTTGGGCCTGCTGTCAAGTTCTAGCCCTGATATGAAGGAGAGGCAATTCTTCAGAGTGAAATCCTTCTAGGGCCTCTAGGCTCTGTAGGAGCTTCTACACTGGTCTCGTTGGATTATTTACAGCGGTCAGCCTTGTTGTCCTGGTAGACACTACTCCACAACTTTTACGTTTGCGCAGCAACTCAGGTCCCGACGGCCCATTTGCGCTGACCCACACAGCACCCCCGTCGTCACACGCACTGTACGCCTTACCTTCAGCCTTCAGTGCTCTTTATAGACTCGCTTCCATGGCCTGCAGGCCGATCAGGCACCCGAGGAAGATTCTGATGGGAATCACAATCGACCCTGGGCTTCCTTCTCCATCACACTTTTTTTCATACCACAACCTGTCCAGGATCGAGTCCATACCATCATGACCACACGCCATCGCCTCGGGCGCATCGATGAAGCAACAGAGTCTATTTTCCAGTACCAGGCCGTGTGCGAACGACTCCAAGACTACCGTCAGCTTGTCTGGCTTGCATGCGCCACGACCTCGCTGCTGACCACAAGGCATCTGTTGATTGAGAATAATCTACACTATCCCTTGGAACTGTTCATTTGCCAAATTGCGGCTACGGCAATTGTCGCTTCCTTTTTACATCCATGGAGATCGAACGTCCAGGAAGCCAGCGGGCAAGAACAACGTAGAAAGCGAACAGTCCAAGGCGCATTCTTAATGGTCGCGTCAACCGGCCTGCAAGCAGTATCGGCGTTCTGCACAGTACAGGCAGTCCTGCATACTTCGAATCTACCTCTCCTCTGCATGATCACAGTAAGTTGTCTCAAACCAAATCCAAGAACATGTTACGCTGACCATATCAGACCATAGCCTTCTTTGCCGAAAGTCTAGTACTCTACGTACTCAACTACAATTCTCGCCCAAATGCTGAAATCCTGTCTTTGAGCTTGCTTCTTCCAGCTTGTGCTGGGATATTGTTCATGGAGTACAGGCTAATGGTGCCAAGCTTGATCGCATCTATTTTGGCAATGCTCCTTGTCGGCACTGCTAGTGCATTGAGGAAACTGGTTGCTAAACACTACCCAGGAGACCGTGCTACTCGAAGTACGAATGCGGTTTGGTTGGTTGGTATGGGAAGCTTACTTGCGTTTGTCTGCGCTGTCGGCAATTGGCCTGGTGAGCAATGGGACACATTCAACGTCAGTAGCCTACCTCTCCGCACCCTGAATGCTTTGTCGACCGCGGCGGCGTTTTTAGCTGGAGGCTCGATACTTTTTCCATTGGAAATGCAATCAGAGAGTCCACTACCTGGAAGCGGCCTTGCAGCAACACAACGCGTGCGCAGCGTAACGTCGATTTTAGCCATGATGGCAATCGTAGGTTGCTCAACGGTCCTCTCGTTACGTCGCTCATATACCAGTTGGCAACAACTATCCTGCTTCCTCCTCGCAATCCTATGTGTCTGTAGTAAAGATGTCTATGACACAGTTTGGAAGCAGGCTGTTCGCCGAAAAGATTCACGCGGAAGCTACGACCTTGTTTCGCGTTCACCCAGAGCAGAACCAGATGATGAGGAAGAGTGCGGAACGAAATCACAACGCGCTCCACGAACTGGATCGCAAAGCAACAGTCTTCGTTCACCCTTGATCAGTCTAGCCCTGGTGATGCTGTGGACAGCATTTATAAGTTTCAACTTTGGACAACGACAATTTCCCCGAGTGGAGCCGCATCTAGATCTACAATACGAACCCATCGGTCCTCTAGAAGTTGTTATCAGCATGTACAAAGAACGCACCGAGGATGTCGCAGCACTCATAGCAAAATTGGAGAGTATGTCGCAGATGTCAGAGGCTCTGATCACGATTTACTTGAAGGACAGCGAGGCGGACGAAAGACAGATTAAGCAAGAAACGAACGCGCACGAAGTGATAAAGCTTCCAAACGTAGGACGCGAAGCCGAAACATACCTTAACCATATCGTCAACCGCTGGGACAGTCTCGCCGAGAGAACCGTGTTCCTCCAAGCTGATGTTCATAACCCACGAGAGTTCTACCCATTTTTCGAGCGATACTTCCGTGCGAACCAGACGGGTTTCCTCAACCTAGGATGGGCAGGCATTCTTTGCAACAGCGACGACTGTGGGGACAAGCGCGGTTGGCAGGACGAAACCTCGCTGTTCCCGAATTTACAATCCCGAATCGATGACTCCCGCAGTGAGAACGTTCTCCTCAGCTACAAGGGCCAATTCGTTGTCACCGCAGCACGTATCCGCGGCATCGACAAGTCCATCTACGATGAACTATGGCAGCTCCTTGTCGATGAGAACAGCTGGGCTCACCAGGAACCCTACCTTCAAGGACGACCCGATTCAATGAGCCAGCCGTGGTTCGGATACACAACGGAGAGGATATGGAATTTGCTGTTTCAGTGCTCAGACATGGACGTCGCATGGCGGTGTCCGACTCTGTTGAGCGGATGGAGACCTGGCGGTAGCATTGCGGACTGCCAGTGCTTTGATTCAGAGCTGGTGGAGTAGGCGGGCAGCCATGAGTAGCGGCCCATGGTGTTTGTTTTGTTTGTTGTGATACCCCTAGACGTCGAAAGGCGCAACGCGATTTTCCAAATTCCGTCACTTGTTGTTAATTATAGATGACGCGCAATAAGAACGAAGTAATAAGAGTTTTCCAGATTTGATGCACATCAAGATCATTACTTCCGCCATGTCTCCACACACACACACGTCAGCATGCTTTTTCTCTGCCCAGGCGGTCGAGTCTGCAGATGGCCATCGCACGCAAAAATGCCAACCCGAAGCGTTTGAGGTTCTGATACACCAGCAAGCTGCGGATGCAGGAGGTTCGAAGCGCCAAGCTGAAACACTTTGTGCCGGCGAGATCTCGCGCTTGCCGTTTGACACGTGATACAGTATCCCCACTTTCAATGCTGGCCCGGGTTCTGCAATCGATCCCTGCGCGCACAGCAGCGAGCGACCACTCACACATGACTCGGCCGCATTGCACAGCCATGGCGTCGCAGATACTCTCCTTTCCCTTGAAACGTTCCATAAGATCGCTTGCGGCGACGTTTTATACCCAGTTGAACAATTGTCCACAGCTAATTTATCCGTCTTCAAGTTCTGGACAGCCTACTGCAAACACCGTATAGCTCGCTTCCTATTAACCTGGTACATCCATCGAAATTGCACGTCCGGACACTAGACGATCGCGTTCCTCCCATCTGGTACAAGCCCTGCCACCCTGCACACGCACATGGCGACGGTTCAGCGAGCGAGCAACAAGCTCTCAATCTCCTCGAACCGAAGCTCAGATGGTCTTTACAAGCATCGCCAGAGTATGCTTTTCCGGGAACTAGAGATTCTACTTGAACTCACACCGAGCACCTTCAGCTCGCCACTTCTGGCTCTCCCAAGAGAAATCCGCGCCCAAATCTTCAACTATGTGTTACCCGACACCAAAAATCGTCCCGAACTTCACACCTGTCTATGGGGAGCAGAGATGTCCAACGGAGAACCCTGGAGGCACGACATTTTTGGGTATGGATCCTCCGTAGCCAAGGCATCCCGATTACGGCCCGAGCTCCTCCTTATTAACAAACAAATTCGCGATGAGCTGCTTTACAATTACTTTCGCCGCAGCAAGATTACCTTGCACGCTGAACTACGAAATACGCGGACCAATAACGACTATTTTGAGTTCTCACAGCACATTCTGCAATTGCCCATGCTGAAGCATGTAACGCATATACGCTTCTACATCGAATGGAACTACACAACGCTGAAGAACGGGGGCCGAGATCGTATGATGAGAGACCAGGCACGCATGACAAGCAACCTCCTCGCAGCCATGGACAAGATCGCCCTTTCGCTTCAATGCATTGAAACCATTGAATTGTCGGTCCTCTTCTTCTGGAAATTTCGAAGCGGCAAAATGTACAGTCTTTCCATGCAGGACCTCTTTGACCTCGAAGACGTCTTCAAGCGGTGTGCTGAGTTGCGTTGGCTTAGTCTACTTGGAGAAAATGACCTCCCAGGGAAGAAAAAGATTACCACCTCTACTTATCTCAGCCCGACTTCGGCGGCGGCAACTTCTTCAGCGGGTGTAGGCTATAAGATGTCGACAGAGAAGAAGGGTACGGAGCAGAGTGGAGGCATGGAGATCTGCGTGAGCCGTGACTTGGAAGACGCGATGGAGGAGCGAAGAAAGAGTAGCGTCGACTTTTTCGGTAACTACGAAGTCACAGAGCCTTTACCACAGCCTAGTTATCGGCATGGTGCTATGATATAGGGCCAAGAGGAAAGAAGAACTGCATGAGCATGCGGAAGAGTGACAATGAGTCTTTCTTCATATAATACGTGTCTCGACGGAAGATGTCAAAAGCATAGACCACCTTATGGACGACATGTCTGCGAGAAGAGTCGGGCATCATATCATCTACGTCGAGCACAACGGCTCCACAAACCGAGTCATCTACAACGCGAAATTCAACAGAACGGCGATCTGCCTCACCTGTTTGACGCGGACAGCATAAGAGCTGAGTGAGGCAGTCGTCATGACTTCGAGAGTAACGCGAATCTGCTTCAATCTTCAGCGCACGTGGTGAGAAAAAAATCTAGGTCACGTGTTCACCGACACCGCGTTGTAAACTATTCTTGACTGTGCTATATCACCAGATGGTTATCATATCCCGAGATGTGGCGTGCAATCAACGCTAAATCAAACGGTTCGGCCGAGGAGTGTGGAGTTTGTTGTTAAGCAATAGCGGGGAAGATGGAGAAAACGGAACTTCAGTGAAATCAAACTTCGCAGACAAAGCTGTCAAAGTCAAGTTGGAGTGACAATAACCCAATTCCCACTATTCAACACTACCTTAAATCTGTGTTGTTCTCCGGATAGAAATGGGGGAGGTACAGCGGAGAAGGTGGTGAGTGTGGGGATCACGCGCTATATGGGTACCTAGGCTCACGGTAGTGTTCCGCGTCTTGGACCCTCCATCATCGTACTGACGAGCAGACTAATCCCAGTCAAAATGCAGTGAGGATAAACAGGGTCTCTCTTAAAGGATTATTGCATCACGATCTTTCCGTGATGAGGCTTAGTTGGCGCAAGTTGCACTTGCTCTTTCTCGCGCCCTAGTGTGTAACGGATTTAACGATCATAGCCTTCACCAAGCAAGCCACACGACGTGCGGCAAGCAGGTAGCCGCAGCCGCAGCCACTGACACTGTCCACTACCACTAGCTGCATCTCAATATCTACTACTTAATATGGGCTCTAGCAGCTGTCGTTTACCGGGCCGCTACTACCTACTCTACTCCCCTACAGATCCAGGTGATTGACGCAACCTATTGCCTTATTTCCGGACGCCAACGTGGTCAGAATCTCCATATGCCAGTACTCTTAGCTCAATAGCGTTCGTCTTGCGAGTTTCCATGAAAGAATCTCGAGTTGTCTCGTCGAGCTGAGCAGCACATCCGAGGCGATTTTCCATGACACCTAGCGCCATCACCACCTACTGAGGCTTCCACGGTAGCTAAGAACTGACGACATGCCACAATCAGAACCGCCCAAACTGTATCGCCATCCTACGAGAAGCGAGATCATCGACCAAGCAGCAGCTGAGGGTCATGATGCGGATATCCCAGGCAACCTCGGTTCTATACACCAAGTTCCTAGTCATACCTCAGGGAGGCGGCATTCTTTAGACGAGAAGAAGCATGAGTACACGACGGGAGAGCAAGATGTTGAAAAAGGCAACAGACCAGCTTCTATCTACAGTGCAGACGAACCAGACGCGGAAGAGGAGCCTGAACGCGATCCAAATATTGTAGACTTTGACGGCCCCGATGACCCCGAGAACCCACTCAACTGGAAGGCATCCCGTAAATGGGGTATGGTTGCCCTAATTAGCGGGATTACTTTCCTCACGCCTCTCGCAAGTTCACAATTCGCGCCTGGCGTCCCAGAAGTTATGCGCGACTTCAATTCGACCAGCGATTTGCTGGAGGGCTTCATCGTGTCCGTATATGTCCTTGGGTTTGCTTTTGGGCCGTTGATCATTGCGCCGCTGTCAGAGATGTATGGTCGATTGCCATTGTATCACAGCTGTAACTTGCTTTTCATCGTCTTTACGATCGCGGCAGCTGTAGCGACGAACATGGCGCAGTTTGTTACGTTCAGGTTTTTCATGGGCTGTTTCGGAGGAGCGCCTATGGTGCTTGGTGGTGGGACCATTGCAGACCTCATACCTAGGGAGCAACGAGGCACTGCGATGGCAGTCTGGTATTTCCAACACATGTGTCTTATGGATCTAGGCTGACTTCGACCAGGATGATGGGACCGACTATCGGGCCTTGTGTTGGTCCTATTATCGGTGGCTTTTTGACGGTTGCGAAAGGCTGGCGGTGGAATTTTTGGTTCGTAGCTATAGTGGTAGGTTTGCATCTAGGCTCTCTGCCAGTTGGTAGCTAACACTATTAGGGTGGCGCATTCTTCATCACGTCACTCATTCTGATGAGGGAAACATCTGGAATTATCATCCTACAACGAAAAGTCAAACGACTGAAAGCCGAAACTGGAAACTCAAAGCTATGCTCAAAACTGGATGGTGGTCTTACACCCAGCCGACTGTTCAAGTTTTCAATCATCCGACCTGCCAAGATGTTATTCCGCTCCACCATCTGCTTCGCCATCTCACTCTATATTGCGATAACATATGCATATCTCTACATATTGTTTACGACATTCACCGCCGTCTTCAAGGGTCAGTACGGCTGGCATGGTGGTATCACTGGTCTGTCTTTTCTTGGATTAGGCATTGGGTCTCTTATTGGCCAATTTACCTACATCCACTACGGCAACAAAGTAGTGCACAAGCACATGGCGCGCGGGGACTTTCGTCCCGAACACAGATTGTATATGATGTGTATCGGCGGTTTATTCATTCCATGCGGTCTCTTCATCTACGGTTGGAGTGTACAGTATCAGACTCACTTCATGGTGCCTATTGTTGCAACAGGCATCATCGGATTCGGTCTGCTGATGACATTCATGCCGGCGACGACGTACTTGGTCGACGTGTTCACTATTCACGCCGCGAGTGCCATGGCAGCGAGTACAGTGCTGCGCAGTCTTGCAGCAGCATTTATTCCATTGAGCAGTCAGACCATGTATGCACAAATGGGATACGGATGGGGTAACAGTATGTTAGGCTTCATTGCTACGCTACTCATCCCGATCCCATTTCTGTTCATTAGGTATGGAGAAAAGATCCGGGCTAGAAGTACAGTCAAGCTCTGAAAATAGAAATACGCCATGTACAGACTTAAATAGACTCATCACGCAATAGCAGACGTATTTCCTACCTAGTCTGGATTCTTATTGTTGAAAATGCGATTCGTCGCGGGTTACGGCTCCCGCTACCTGACTCGTATAGGCTATACAGAACCTCGGTGTGTACTCCGGCGCCCCACTCATGCTTTTCACGGCTCACATTAGAAATGCAACGTCATAGTATGCATCTTACCATAAACAGCAACCCGATGGTAGTGAACAATCGCTTAGACATTGTTTAGATAACTGCTCTGTAGAAGTATTCTGGTGTAACGATATCACGCAACTCGCATCATCGCAAGAATATAACTGATTAACTCGATATGGCGTCTTCACTCCCCGAATCCAATACGTCTTTGACCTATACACAACCTTCTTCTCAACCACATATTACACATACACCCATACCTACACCAGGTCCACAGGAGGTGCTGATCAAGATCAAAGCCGCGGCTATCAGTAAGTATCTTTGTACGAACTGCACGTGAGCCACACACTGACTTCGTGCAAAGATCCAGTAGACATCCAACTATGGGGAAATCCCGTGATCGGCTGGCTGGCTGGTAAAAAAGAAAAAGGAATAGGGCGAGACTACTCGGGTGACATTGTTGCCGTGGGGGAAGAAGCAAAGAGTGGAAAATGGGAGGTTGGAGACGAAGTTTTCGGATTGTGCAATCGACCCGTAAGTCAAACCTCATCAAATTACCTTTTGGAAGACAATACTAAATTTGAATCATGATAGATGGCGGAAGGAACATTCACACAATACCTTTGTGTCAATCCAACCTCCGAACCCATCGCAAAGAAACCCAGCACTCTGTCTCATCACGAAGCCGCCGCCATACCTCTTGTTGTCTTGACCGCATTCGCCTGTCTCGATTGGCTTCCGTCTCCATCCAGCTCCCCATCTCCCTCGCAACGTCGCGTGATCATATCAGGAGCAAGCGGTGGTGTAGGAATGTGGTGTGTACAGCTAGCAAAGAAGCTCTACTCTTGCCATGTCATCGGCATCTGCTCGGGCCCCAACGCCGATTTTGTGCGCAAATTGGGCGCAGATGAGGTAATTGACTATCGCACGCAAGACGTACCAAATTCTCTGCTTTCCAAGAGGCCCGCTGGTACCAAATACGATCTGTACATTGACTGTGTAGGTGGCACGGAGATGTTCGAGCATTGGAAGCAACTCCTTCATCCCTCTGGCGCGTACATTACCATTGTTGGAGACAAAACTTCAAGGACCGCAATGGGAGGACCGTTGACGTATTTCACATACCCATCCCAAGTCATACGACATATTCAGGGTTATCTGTTTGGGCCGCGGTATGCGAATGTCATTCTGTACCAGAAGAGCGAGTTGCTCGAGCAAGTGAGGGAGTTGGCAGAGAAGAGCGATGTGCAGGTTGTAGTCCAAGATGTTGTCAAGGGGATTTTGACCGAAGGAACTCATGTTGAAGCTTGGGAGAAGACTAAAAGCTATATGGTGGAAGGACGAGTCAAGGGTAAGATTGTTATTGACATTGCGTAAGGTCTTGCGTGACGATTGAATATTTACATAGGAGTCGAAGGATATCTTATAAACTGCTGTTTGACCCTCTCGTCCTTGCGGATGTTAAGTATTACTGAAACACAGAAACATCTTTCCAAAACCCTTCGAATACGATGGTGAGCTCGCTTGTTAACACACGAGATGGTCTAACTCGTCCTCTACTCACTCAAGTTCTGCTGGAAGAACTCTGTGAGCCTGCCAAAGGGAATCAGGTCAACGCGGTCGTACAAGTCCACATGGCCAGCGCCTAGAATCCAAACTAGCTCCTTCGGTTCTGCCGCAGCTTCGTACGCATCTATGCTGAACTCGCGCGAATGTGCCATGTCGCCAGAGATGAACATGACTGGACGTGGGGAGATGGTGTCGAGGTCGCTAAAGGGATAGAAGTTCATAAACTTGGTCTGGCTGGAGAGTGTAGGGTGGGTGGTGAGGTTTGGTGCAGAACCTGCAGGTGTGAACTCGCCTCGAGATGTGCGGTAGAAGTCATAGAACTCGCGTGAAACTGGATCGGTCTCATTGGTGAGAACATGAGGAGTTCCGCCCGTATACTTTGGAAATGGAGGCACGAAGTTAGTGTACGTCTCACATGCATTTGGTGTAGTCACAACATACCTCCGTTTCTCCACCGCTGGCTTCCACCCAACGTTGCGCCGCCGCCGTTGCAATGACCTGCTTGCGTTGCTCGACGTTCTGGGATCTCTGTAACCCGTTGCGGCTTACGGCGCCCATGTCATACATACTGGCTGTCGCGATAGCCTTGATGCGCGGATCGATCTTTGCTGCGCTGAGAACGAAGGAGCCACTGCCACAGATACCGATAGCTCCGATACGATCGCGGTCAATGTAGTCTTGTAGACCTAGGTAATCGACTGCAGCACTGAAGCTCTCGGCGTAGACGTCTGGCAATACGGCGTTCCTTGGCTCGCCGTCGCTGCCTCCCCAGAAGGAAACATCAATCGACAAAGCTACGAACCCTTGCTCCGCCATCTTGGTGGCGTACAGGTTTGCACTCTGTTCCTTCACGGCTCCCATTGGATGACCGACGACTATAGCGGACGCGTTGATGCTTCGATCGAGATTGTCGGGTAGGAAAAGGTTGCCCGCCACGGTCATCTGGTATTGACTGGGAAAGGTGATCGGATGCATCGTGACGTTGTCGCTGCGGTAGAAGTTGTTGGCTCCATAGGACAAGTTCTGTGCCGCCGCTGGCAGCATCTGAAGAGCAGCCACGAGAGCTAGCGATACGAACGTGACCGTCATTTTCGAGGCGCGTCTTCTGCAGGTAGTAGTCTGGATTCGTTGTGGTGGATGCGGAAGCTTGGGTATGTGATGGTCTCTTAGGCAGCGATACAGCGTTCTTATAGTTCAAGAAGCTGGCTCTTGCGAACTTGCACTGCCATGGCTTGCGTCAGCCCATCAAAAAGATGTTGATGTTGGGCCAGGGTACGGCAGACTTATTCCTCTACATCACTCTCGCCAAGCGTGGGCATGCAAGGGGATGACACGATCATAGTAGGCATTCCAAGGCGACAATTCCACCAGCCCAGGGATGCAAAGTGAGTAACGATAGGAGAACAATGCACTAGTGCTACCTGGACCCAAGTGAATAGCAAGAATGAGTGGTAACCAAGGTATCTGATCAATCAGACCATATCGAAAGTAGGAAACAACAAGACCGATGCAATTACCGTGCGGCGTCATATTTTTGCAGAGGATATGCTTGCTGTTGCTTGTTGCATATTTTCCCCTTGATGAAGTGACGTCTTGGCCTACTGCAGCCAGCTGACAGTCTTAAGTCCACCCGGCGCTAAAGCGTGATCGGTTTGGTCTGACTAACAAGGTTCCGGTTTTGACCGTCTACCATGATTCCATGCTTGCAACAGCATACTTAGAAATGGTTATTGCGTAGTTGAAATTTTGATGAAGCGAGATATGAAGAGATCTTACCATGAGTCTTTCTGCGCATGGTAGCATGCAGGTGTCCTTGGAAAATCCAAATTTCTCTAAAGGTATACGCTGAAAACGCACATTAGCACATTTTGCACGACTTTCTAGACTAGTCGATACTTACATACTTCTAAATGACATACGGATGCAGGTTCTCGAACGGCTCGAGGTCCGAGGACGTGGAGGCTCTGCTGATCGTTCCAAAACATTGCAGTGACAACATCCGGTGTACAAGCGTAAGCTAGGTTGTTTATTGGCATGTCACGGTGCCATATGGGGCACTTGATCATGCCATGTCTTTCGTAGTACAACTGTTTGAGCTCCTCTTGATCATGGTTTTGGTCATTTCGTGAGCACTTTTGAACTGCCTTCGAATTGAGGGAAGACCGGTAAACTGGTACTCAGGAGATGGATGCGGATGCGAGCCACGCTGTGAGCCCTAAAACTGCGTGCCTGTAAGGATAAACGGGTAACTGTGTTGATTCGGCTGAGGATGCTCTCATAATCCCGATAGGTAAGGTCATGATTGACATGACAAGAGCATACCTAGGTAGTACTTCTTTTATAAGTTTTCTTGATGAGCTGTTTCTTCCCGGCAGCAGTTCTTTTTATGCACAAGATGTGTGCATGTCAACCCCAGATGGCTCTAGGACAAGACTAACGCAGGTGCGTGACCAACAGCGATGACGTTGGCTGCAGGGTCCATGCTTCGCCCCAGCCTCATGGACATGGACGGCGGCCGCTATCTGGACGCCAGCCTCAACCACTACCAGAGCTCTCCACTCTCCGCAACAACCCCGACCATCCTACCCCAACTTCGAATTCACATCCAAGTTGTTCGCGTCGTGTTTATCGCGCGACTACAACACTACAGCTCGTCTCTAGTACCACAGCTGTCTTCACCGCCGCCATGCAGCTCACCACCTTGTTGCTCGCCGCGCTAAGCGCCGTCTCTGTCTCTGCATCGCCCTCATGGATGGGTGGCGACCAGGTCACGATCCAGGAAGAGTACAAGGTCCCAGGCGACAACCCCTTGTATTTCTGTGGTGACCCAGCCGACGATCTTCTTAAGATTGAGAAGGTTGACCTGAGCCCCAACCCACCCAAGCCGTACGTGATCCCTGTTGGAGTCTTGTCAAAGTTGCGCATCTACACGTGTGGTAGTTTCGCAAGTCTTGACAAGTGTGAAGCGACAAACTAACCTGGGTACAGTGGCGAGACGCTCAGCATCAAGGCCACAGGCGACTTCAAGGAGGAAGTCGGTGAGGGTTTCACAATGCACTTGCAAGTCAAGTACGGCATCATCACACTCATCAACCAGAACGCAGACGGCTGCGAAACGATAAAGAAGGGCGATCTCGAGTGCCCGCTTAAGAAGGGCGAGATGAGCTTGACCAAGGATGTTGACCTGCCCAGGGAGATCCCTCCGGTGCGTTCGAAGAGCCTGACAAGATGTGAAGGAATACTAACAACCAGCAGGGCCAGTACACCGTTCTCGCAGACGTCCTTACCAAGGACGGCGACAAGATTACTTGCCTGACCGCCAAGATCGCTTTCCACCGGTAAATTGCCTCACCTTGGTTTCGCCGCCTCAAGACACGACAAGCAGCGATGGGATCTGATGTTCACACATGTAGGGGAGATACGGAGGACAGTAATATGAGCAGTGGTAGCAAAGTCAAGTTTGGACAGCCGAGAGTGCAAATGTCTGGGCCCCTCGCCGGGCTTGTGCAAGAGCGGTTGAGGCGAAGGAACGAGCTGTAAGCAAATGTCGGCGAATTGTTTTCATGTCTTGAATCACGATACCAGTGCGAGGTTGGTTTTAGTGTTTTGCGTGTGGGTTTGGACGTAGGGATGGACTATGGCTTAATGTAGATACGACGGACATGCATACACTCTGTGGCACGATTGACTCTTTGACCCTGTTTTGTAATGGATGTCATATCTGCGCAGGTTGAAATGTTGTATGTACACAAAGCTGCCCGTGGTGGACGCCACGTGCCAGAGCCATACGTAGTATCCGACACATGCAACTCTCTCCATGCGCTGCCAGTTGGCGCGTTCAATGTCTACTCTCCAAACAGCCTCCTCACCCTCTTCAGCACGCTGTCCTTCTCAGGGTCGTAGGGGTGGTCTTTGGACGGAATTTCGAGAAGGGAAGGGAAAGCAGCCGTGTATGTCTCAACCCGATGTCGTATCCTCTCGGCGATCTAGCAGCGGTCAGTCGTGTCCTTCGCACCGTGGCCATGTCCGGGCCAGGTAAGACGTACATGTTGGTTGATGAGTAGAATGGCGATATCCTTGCGCTCCGTGGTGAAGCGGTCGAATGCTGCTTCGATGGCCGAGGTCTCGGTCTTTGCGTCGACGACGAGAAAGTTCTTCTGGCTGTCTGGCGGCTGGGTAACATGCTGTCATGTGCGTCAATCTCGTGTTCGCATCGCGCGTTGCAGCTCGCAATAGCTTACGCCTACGCCGGCAAGCAGCATGCCCGTGCAAGTGTCCTGCGACCGGTTAGCGCCCTTGACCCGCCAGGTGAGCATCTGTCGACAAGCACACCTCATCGCCTATGACGGCCAGGAACTGCCTGTCCTTGTACTGTGCCGCTGGTGCTGCCATTACGATATAGCTGGTGAGGCAGCTGTCGTGAGGTCGGAGCTTGGCTGCTGAAGCTGGAGCTCCCGCGCGCCGTCGTCATGGGCGGGACCACGGCCTAGTCCGCGTTGGGCCAACTGTTTGTACTGTCCTTTCTTTCACCACGCCCTCTTTCCTCATCCTCGTGTCTTGTCTCAACACCGCCATGCCGACCTGATTCTCACCACCACGCCGCTCCTTCTCTTTGCCTCTCCTACACAGCCCACAACCCTATCCCAGGGAATATAATCGTAATACAGCCGAACCATGCCTCCTGTCGTGCGCCGCGCACCGCTCTCGGAACGCATAAAAGCCTACTTTGACCTGTCCGACTGGCTCATCTGGATATCTGAAGAGCTCAACAGCTCCGACTGGGAAGAATTCGCATCTGCTTATGCCCTGTACATTGGCTTTGGCGCAAACCTACTCTTCGTTCTCGCCCAAGCCAACAGCGGCGCATCCACGGCCTCGGACGACGATGGCGTCTTCAACGAGGTGCAGGGCCCAGGATGGATAAAGTGGATCATGGGCCTGCTTGTGCTGGTGCTGGGTGTGGCTAGCTTTGGCAATGCGTGGCTGGTCTGGGGCAAGAAGAGGTATTACCGTCTCTTTGAGCAGAGCGTCGATGTTGCGCCACAGACACCCAGTGCGAAGCGCGTCAGGGTCGACTCATCGCCTGCAGCAGCGAGCCCGATGCAGTTTGTGAGGAACTTGGTGCAGAACAACGCGGCGAGCCGGGCGCATCCTGTCGAGGGCAGAGACGTTTGGGAGGTGGCGGTTTGGGATCCAAATCCGCTGTGTCTGGAGTTGTTCTGCTTGTTCAGCCCGTTACACGTGGTACTCTACTACTTCAACCTCCCAGTCGCTCCCTTGGATCCGAGACCGAGTGTCAGGGTGACCACGACTATCTTCATCGGAGCAGCGTTGTCGCTTCATCTTTGGTGGCTTAGGAGCTCCTTCATGCAGCAGGCCAAGGACAACTCTCTGATCAGTCGTCAAGTCCTTCACGAGTACGATAGCAAGTTCGTTCATCCCGCGTTGCAGAAGCCGTGCCGCGACGTTGGTATCCAGACCATTTCAAAGAACCGAACCCGTGACTCGAGTGTCGGCGTCAAGGGCAGCAGCAGTGATCTCGCGAGCTCAGTCGTCACATATACGCCAACCACCATTGTTAACCGCCGCACTTTCCGTACTAACCCGAACGCAAGTTACGCCTCACAATACGACCCTGACGATATGGCTTCTCCGTCTGTCACGCGCTCCATGAGACGTAGACCCTCCCTCCACCAAGACCACAGCAGCTCGCAGTATGCAAGCACATCCACAGCAACAGGTCCTGACTTCTCCTCTCCTATTCGACCCTCGCAAACACCCAACCCCTTCCGCCAGGCACCCACTATCCCCAGGACCAACAGCAAACCCACTGACGGCGGTTACCTGGGCATAAACACTCATGCTGCGTCTCCTCTACGAAAGTCGGCGAGTGCAAACTTTATAAAGGATGGCGAGAGGAGTGCGAGCCGTGGGAGGGACAGTCTAGGTGGCGCCTTTGAGCGCAGGGCTAGTCCGAGCAAGCGGGATGTCAGCCCTCTGAAGCGTATCAGTCTTGGAAACTTGAACGCCGAGAGGGAGAGGGGAGAAAAGGCTTTGGGTCAGGCGGGTAGCCTAGGAAGGAGTACTCAGTACGGTAGTCTTGGTGTGGGACGAAGAGAAAGCGGACGATACTAATGGTCATCTCTGTGCGATAGATGAGAGCCAGGATACGCAAGAGCGTGCGCGGCACTGAGCTGTGAGTTCGATTCATTCGTGTACATTTTATTATATACAATACCCCAATATATGCCAACATGATGGCGCTTTTCTATTGCAGAACCTCTTTCATCACTTAGCTCAACACTTGGCTTCTTGTGTACTTTTATACGAGAGAATCGGGAAGAGCATTAGAAAAACAGCCATCATTTTTCATACCGACTACACGTTAATTTCACCATGCTTCACCATTTGGTAGGAACATGTATCTTGGATGGCTAGCGCATTCTCTTCTATTTCACTGCAGGATTTTCTTTGCATTGCAGGTCTGGTATGCTTTCTGAAACGAAAACGTTTTACCTCTGCACATCTGCTGCAAGCTCGAGGACTGCACAATCAGTCTCCATAGAATCATGCTTTAGTATTTCACGTTCTGATAGAGGGCCGTCCGTGCAGCTGTTGCAGCTGTTTGATCCCAGCATTAGGTACCTTTACACGGACTCTTCCCCTTCACGGGTTGCTCTTCTCTTTGTCCGAGACACGTATCAAAATAGATTCAAAGATGAATAAAAAAAAAGGACTGCAAAAGAAGAAACTTTACCTTATTCTGTCAGTCACAAGCATCAGCCCATATAACGGTCGCTTCTTCTCGGTTCTTCCGGAAAGCTTGTTTAACAAAAAGGCTTGAGGGGATCCGGTCGCTGGTCGAGAGCCGTTATAACACGTCATAGGATGTTGGAGTTGCGCGTCGTCCGATCGCATAGGCCTCGGACAGGCCGTCGCGCCAGACTCCAAAAAAATAATTCATCCCAACAGGCCAAATATACGCATCTCAATAGTCTGCCACGTATACCAATATATGAAAATGCTGGCACTCGATGTCATAGTGTTCAAAGCGTCATTTTTGAAATGTGGGGTTCATATTTGTACCGATAGATATTTACAAAAAAGAAGGTATCCTTAGCATGGGTCTAAGGAACCATGATCCATGATCCAAGCCATGTAGCGCATTGCTAGTGTCATTATTCGCAATCATCGTACTCTCCCAGAGAGTCATAGTGATCTTTCGTAAGGAAATCCCTTCATCGGGCGCTTAAACAGAGTTGATGAAGGAGAGAAGGGCGGCGGTGCGAGCGTATACACCAGGGAAGTTGGGCTGAGCACAGCCGTTACCCCAAGAAACGAGACCAATGAGAGTCTTGGCGGAGTTGACAATGGGGCCGCCAGAGTCACCCTGGCAAGAGTCGCGACCACCAGTGGTGTATCCAGCGCAGAACATGTTGTTGGTGATAGCAGATGTTCCGTAGGATGAGCGGCACTCAGTGCGGGAAACGATCGGGACGGAGACCTTGTAGAGAGTGCTGGGACTGCTGCCGCCCTCAGTAAGGGCACCCCATCCGGCGACAGTTGCAGTAGATCCAGCAGCGGGGTCGGATCCGGAAGCAGGGAGAGTTGCGTAACCGATGGTGCTGCTAGTAGGGACGGCAGTAGAAAGCTTCCAAATGGCGACATCAAAGTCCTGGCCCGAGCTGCGGTAGCTTGGGTGGACAGTAACGGAAGATACGCCAACGAGTGTTCCACCGGAGCTCTTGTTCAGGCTGCCGGCGCGGACACGGAGACCGCTGACTGAGCCAATGACGGAGCTGACGGAGCAGTGAGCAGCAGTGATGACGGTAGTAGAGTCCAACAGAGAGCCACCGCAGAAGTGGGATCCGCTGCGCTGAAGGCTGACGATGAAGGGAAACTCGCCCGCAGAGGCAGTGGTTCCACCAACAATGTCGTCAGCGGGAGCATCCTCAGGGAACTCGTAGTCGGGGTCCTGAGGAGTGGGAGCCGCAAGGACGAGCGCAGGAAGCGCAATTGCGATGATGGATTGGAAACGCATGATGATTGTTTCGAGTGAATGAGGCTACGCGGAGTAGGATTGGAAAGTGATTGAAGTGAAGAGACAAGCGACTGACTGAGCTGGCTGATGAAGAAAAGGAAGGGAAACAACCCTATACTTATACGCAGGCTATGGTCCCCTGAGCATCAGAGCATCCATACACTGCAACCTTGCGATTGTGTTGTCCGGAGATGCCAAGCGTGATCGACTAAGTGTGTAGTTTGTCCTTCCGAATTGGGTGTCCGCTACGACTTGGCAAACTCTTAACATGAAGTCCGCCAGTGTACCTTAGGCGCGCCAGTGGAGGCTCGGCGATCCTGCCCATGTAGGTACGTTATCTGCCTGTAGTATAAGCTTTCAAGCTAATTGCCTGGCGGCGAATGCGAGAGGAGAAGCTGATCCAGCGGTTGCTCCCGTATACCAGGATCAAGGCCAGCTTTGCCTCACAGCTGCATTCTGCGGATCGGTTTCTCCAGATCATTGCTTTTTCGCCCCTTATCTCAAGGTCTCACAGGGCTGTGATCACAGCCACACCTTGAAACATGTTGCAAACAAGAATAGCTCCTTTGTGGTCTCATGCCATTATGACGTATTCGTATAAAGTGTACATAGCTGTGTACATAGCTGTGTGTATGTCGTGAGTAGTAGGACCAGCGACGCTGTTTCCTAGATAGCACGAGGTTGTAACGGTTCTACATCCTTGCCATAGTAAAGCCGAAGTGGCATCGCACTTTGTTTGCCATAGTCCTGAATCTCGCTGGCGCCGCTGAATCGCTACGACTTGTCCCAGTGTCTGGCGTTGTCACGTCTTCTCTCCTGAAGAGGCAAGTGATTTTGCCACATATTGTGCGCAAACCGACAGAAGCGCCGACCGGGTTGTTGTAACATGTCAATGTAGGCGAACCACGATGCAGGGTATGTATATTACCCTACATGATCAGCATGGGATGCGATTCTTGGATGGACGAATCGTGTGTTCTTGTTGGCTTAGTTGTGCCTAGTACGTCGAAGGGCAAAAGGAAGGAGAATTGACCTGCCACAACGGATAGGTCCGCGTGGGCTGCTAGCGAAACACTCGCGCACTTGGCCCCGGCACGTATGATTGCGACCTCGGAGATGGCGAGCCTAAGGACTGTCGCATTGTCGTGTTCGTTGGTCGTCACCGGCTCTGAGCCAGAAAAGGCAGGAGACGTTAGGACGATGGGGGAGCTATCGAAAGGCCGGAGCTTTAAGATCTTGGCGGTGCGCGCGTGAGCCGGCTGAGTGCTAGAGTTGGTATCGATCTTCGCAACGGCGCTGGAACTCATGCATAGTAGCTCTGGTATGGAGATCGCAGGTGTTCTTGCTGGTGGTACGCGGCATGTGGAATGGCTGAGATGAGGGATTGCGTTCAGCGCTCGCCCACAGCCAACCTCGGTACCAGCTCGATAACGCCATTGCCACACGTAAACATCTCTTGTCAACGTGTCGTTCATGCGCCGACCAGTAGATCTAGGTAACGCATGCAAGACACACTAGCGCAGTACCTTCAGCCTCATATAGGATTTGCCGCCAACACAGGGTACTTTGACGGCTGCCTTGCATAGATTCACAGCGTACGTGGCGCAGCATCCTGCTACTAATACTCCTGACAGCATCTCAGCCCTCTGTAGTACCTACCACTATCCAGAGCGAATGCCAGCTGATTCCAAGGGCCGTCGCAACCTCTTGTGGGTATTTGGACTATTTCTTTTGATCCTGATATCAATCCGCATCTACTCGTCACAAGACATGGACAGCCTTCCAGCACCTTTCACCATCGAAATCAATGGCAGTCCGATCGCCAAGGTCGACGCCAACGCCGAAGACCGTACGCATGCCAAAACGGGAAAAGAAGCAGCTGTTTTTGAGCTTAAAGACAGTCGTCTTCAATGTAACGGTCACATTCTCGGACGGTCGCTGGTAGAGGATCGCAGCTTCCTGCCAAAGCAAGTGTGGTGGTTCAAGGCAGACACTGATATGCCCGTGCAAAAAGTTACTGCAAGCCAGGATGGCGATTCGTACCAGTTGAAGTTTGCCAGTAAGTGAACTATAGTGGCGATGTCGTGCTCATGCTAAATATATACAGATGCTGCATTGATGGCAGAGGATGATGGGGTCTTCGCAGATCTTCTTGGGGGTCAGTATCCTCCGCTTCGACCTTGAGCATGTACTGACAAGCCTAGATCGTCCATCTACAGTGGTAGTGAAGCTGCAGTCTTAGTCCTAATCAATGTGATGCGGTAGCATAGTGTGTAAAATAGTCGCATGGTGATTCAGGTGTAGAACGCCAAATGTCATGCTATGACGTCATGCATCATGGTCTACGATAATGACAAGATACGATTATGCTGCAGAGGACTCAAAGGTCTGTGGCTAGTGATGCCCATCTAGTACTGCGCAATATTCCCGATGCCTCGACGAGTTTGTCATAGCTTATGGTACCTGCCTTGCCCGTTACCAATAATCTATACCAAAGTCGACGTGGCAGTTCAGATGTTCAATACCAAGACTTCTCCTAAGATCCGTGCAAAGGGGAGCCTTGAAATGCCCACCTGGCTCAACCCAATCCGACATCTGCCTCTGCTTAATCACCACATGCAGTGCCGCTCTCAGAGGTTGACCTGCATAGAACTCGGCATTCAATACAACCTGTGTAATGCTCTGCTGCTTGATGTATTTGACCCATGTGAAACTAGCGTTGTTGATCAGGGCTGTAAAGAACTTCGTGAGAGGGGCTTTGATCTCAGGCTGAGCGCACATGATATCCATGGTATAGGCAGGAAATCGTAGATGAAACCTCAGGAGGGGGAAAACATCGATATCTCTTATGTGATCTTGGTTGACCCAAAGACGGAGGGTACCAGCAGGGTCATGGTAGCTTTCGATACGTTTCCGGCTCTTGCCATACATCTGCGAGGACTGGCGGAGTACTGGGAAGAAGGCCCTGAAGTAGCTCTCCAATACGAAAAGCGGGAAGCGATGTGTTGATAGCCACAGAGGTCGAAATTCGGTTCGAATGAGCGAACAAACCTGAGTCAATCCTATATAAGGGAGCGGCTTGACGGCTGTTCGGCGGTCTTCGTCATCTGCATTTTGCTTCCTGAGTCTAGATCTCTTTGGCTTTTGGTATGTCATTGGGAAGCAGCGATAGCTCCACTCTACTGCCATCCCATATACGCGATTTCGAAGTTCTGGCTACAGTCAGTACATCTCAGCTCAGAAATGTGTGGCAGTGACCAACCCCCTGGTAGATCCATAAATCTGAACACCTGATCTGGATCTCCCGCCCGTGTTTCCACAGGCTCTTTGACCTCTTCTGGCATAACTGCATCTTCAATGGTGGTAGCCTTTGTCTTCTGATATTTGCTCGGAGACTCTGAACCGCTTCCGTCTATGGCTCGCTTCGCGTCTGCGCTCTTGCCTGCGCTCTTGCCTGTGCCTTTGCTGTTTACAGCTTGCATAGTCTTGGTGTCACCTGCGCACATCCTGCACCCGACATGTCAGTTACTGTAACAAAAGTATAGCAGGTTGCGAGACTCAAGAACACTCACATAGTCGATGTGAAGGCCATACTCGCCAGTTGAATTTGACGGAAGATCAGTAGGTGCAGGAGAGGTCTTGTGCAAGTGAGGCCCGATGCTGTGGGGTACGAGGGCACAATACAGATGGACCCTGCACCCTAATGGAAGGAGCGGTAAATGCGCGATTGGACTAAGGAAGCCCATGCGGCTGGTGCCTGATCGCATTGGGTTCACTCTATCGATCCACGCGCGTTTGCTCAGTCGGATATGCAGTGAAGCTCATATACACCACTGCAACAACATGCGACCCGGAATTACTTTTCAAGAAACCTCCTGGTCGAAATGGTCGTGGCACTTTTGTAGGAGAATACAAGATAGATCATGGAGAGTATTTGCCAGCGGTGGTTTGAAGATGAGGTGGAAGGTTGTCATTTACTACCATAGAAGTGCCAGCAAAAGCCTTGCACATGCTCCTTTTGCGAGCGAATGACAGCGTGTTCCATTCTGTTTGACTACACTTTGGCAATAACTTCGGGCATCTTGACCAGCCAGTTCTCCCAGAATCTGAACCCATCAATACCTTGCTCGCGACAAAGTGCGCCCGCTTCTTCAGCCATCTCCAGCTCTTCCGTCGCAACACCGACGCTCCAACCGAATCTTTCTGCCGTCTCTTGAGCTGTGACACCCCTGCCAAATGCTTGCCAATCCCAAGTGACGTCCATGTTTGGTGGCGTTTGATGCAGTGTCTTTAGCCAGGCTAATAGACTTGCGATAGTCTTTTCATCAGTGCGATCGCGTCCTTGAACAACGAGGAGCCCGCTCTTGAACTTGCGGAGACGCACGGGAAGCTTCAATGTATCCCACATTCGGGCTGCCTTCTCAAAGTCGGCCGGGCTAACGAGCTCAACGCCACCTCTTGCACGGTTGAAAACAGCCCACAAATCTACCAAGGTCATAATACCGCCCTCTCTTTTGAGTATGCCGCGGGTGTCGTCCGTAAGCCATTCCGCCAAGTTCCTTGATAGTTCTGATACGTACAGCGACTCAGACCCAGAACCTGTACCGAGCATGTCCTTCGTCGTTACCAGACCAAGCGCGGAAGCGGATTGGGATGCCAGCGTGTTGGCTTCCGAGGTACCGTTGGTACCTAGATTGGCCTGCGATGCGAATTGTTCCGCCAGAGCTATGATCTCCTTTGCGGAAGTCATCAGCGCGTCAAGGTCTTCGAATGCACTGCCTATCATGGCCTCGTTGTTCTGTCTTTGCTCCAAGCCTCGTCGCTCTAGTCCCGCAATGCCAACTACACGAGGTCGGTCAACCTCTGCCGATGAACCGTCAGACAGACCCGTATAGCTGTCGTCAAAAGTACCTGAAGACGGCCGTGGCTTGGGAATTGGTGGAGCGCTTTGGAGCAACCATTTACGTTGGACTAGAGCGTTCTTCAACCGCTCGTAGAATATCGGTCCTCCACCTGCGCGAAACGATATCTTGATGCATTCGACAGATTCAGACTGCAAAGGTGATGAGAGGACTGGTCCAGGGGACTGCGATCTATCGAGATCTTGAAGAGTATCCAATCTCTTATCCATGGCCGTTGTCAAAGATGCACCACATATCTCGCAGTTGAGCAGAGAAGGATGGTTCTGATAGGTACACCTTGGGCATGACGACGTCCCTCCATTGTTTGTAGGGGCAGGAGCGCTACTCTTCGTGTCTTTGGGTGGCGGGCCCGGCGCTGGTCTGTTTGAGATTGCTGCTATGGCTGCTTTGACTACATGTACTGTAGGCGGCTTGATCCCGCATGCTAGACATGGCGGTATGGGTGTGCGGGAGGCAAGCGCGGGATCGAAATTGGATGGAACCGGGTTCGAGAAGGAACAGATGGGACACACCCACGTTGCGCTTGCCGGAGGTGGCGGTGCGGGACTGCTATGTCGTGGGGGAGTTGATGACGATGCTGCGACTCGTGGATTCGGGGGTATAGGCGAGCCACGCGATAGCTGCTTCAGGGGCTTGGGATAAAGTGTGATCTTGGGTGACGACTTGAGGAAGCCAGCCTATGTACAGTCAGCGTTGTGTGCTTGTCGTTTGCACATGTGCCGATGCATACATAGAACTCTGGTTTCTCGACATCCTTGAGGAAGATGGCGACGGAGTTCTTGCGTGGCTCGCTATGGTCAACGTAGCAGACACGATGTGAAGTCAAGTATGACTGGCCATTCTGGTACTGGGGAATCTTGAACTTCCTATGCGGTTGATTAGCAGCGGATAGCAACTGTCGCGAACATGCGCGTACCCCTCATAAAGCCCTACGGCGTCTTGGACGAAAAGGAGCGTCTCCTCCGGCAGGAGCGACGGGCGCAGTGCGGTAGTGAGGTCGAGCTGATGCAAGAACATTCAGACCATCTGCAAGTAAAGATATGCGAGGTGCAGCCATCGCATTGGATCGAGTCGACGATGCCCGATTCCGCATGCATTCACCGAGCCCAGCCATCGTCATTGGCCAGAAGCTAGCATGCTTGCGGTTAGCACAGCGCTAGTCATCGCCAAGGAAGGCGCGATGCAAATCAGTTGAGCGGGCCGTCGCTTCACCCTCACCTCCACACCACGACACAATAGACCTGTCCCGCGCGCGCGCCATCTCTCGCACATCTCTCTTGTCCATTTGCAACTACTCACCCAACAGCCAACTCTATTCTCGCTTGTTCTGCTTTGCTTGCCTGCTTATGTCTTTGCCCTCGGCTACTGTAGCGTGGTCCCGGCCAATGCAGTCACCCGCCTATAACACAGTCAATCCACGCACCACCCTCCAAGTCGCGCCCGCGCCTGTTAGTCTTCACACTCATACAAGAGAATCAGCCCACGCTCACACACGGCAGCAGTCAGCTATGGCTCCCGAAACACCCAAGAAGAAGGTCGAGTGGCCTCCAGCCGTTCGCGAGTACGTGAGGCGAGCTTTCGATCCGCAGAACGCCATCCCAGGCATCTCCCAAGCAGACATGCAGGCACGATTGAAGACAACCATCAGCTGGTTTGCTGAGCGCAACTCGCACGACGCAGTCCATTGGCCCACATTTCCTCTTCCTCAGGAGCTTCTTCTTGAGGAGCGACGGGCGGCGGCCATGGGAATGCCTACCACTGCCGTTGCCAACGGCATACACCCTGCATACATGAATGGCTCAGTCACACACACTAACCAATCTCCACCCCAATCAAAGAAGCGCAATGCTCATGAAGCTGAGGAGTCGCAAGTCGAACAAACACAAGCCAATGTCCCACCATGGCGCAAAACTAACCTAGCATCTCGCATGACTTTTAGCGACGGACACAATGAAAAGCGCCAGAAGAAGAACGTCCTCGCGGATGCCGCAAGTAAGTTTGACCAGGCTGAGCTTGACAAGCGACGACAGCGCTTTCAACTCGGCCACAACGGTACCAAGACGACTCCCCCTTGGGGCTCGCCACGGAAGGACGAAGACGACATGCCTACTGGACCTGTTGTTGGAACGAACGAGAATCTCGAGAAGAGCTACTTCCGCCTGACCGCTCCGCCCAAGGCTGAAACTGTTCGACCGCTCCACGTGCTTAAGAAGACCTTGGCCATGCTAGTGGAAAAGTGGAAAGCGGACAAGAACTACAACTACATCTGTAACCAATTCAAATCGCTCCGTCAGGACCTCACTGTTCAACACATCAAGAA